CGCGGGCGATGGGAGGTACGCGCGGGCAGCGAGCGGCGGGGGAACTGGGCGCGCAGGTGATGGTCACGCGGGCAGCGTCCGAAACCGCGCAGGCGTAGGAGTGAAGGGCAGCAGGACGTACGCGCGCGAGAAGGATGGGCGGGGCGAGAAACGCGCGATGGCACGCGAATGGACAGGTGCATGCCTATGCGCGGTAGGCATAGGCGAGGGTGGCGGCGCGCACGCGCAAAAGGAAGGCGGCGGGTAGGGCGCGCGCGCGTGGAAGGGCACGCTGATGAAGACCGTGTGTCTCGATTGCCGACAAGCCGCTCCCACGCCTTAAATCGTTCGATAGGTGTTAGGAAGTCGCACACTCGCAGCCTTTCTAACGAATAAAGTTGCAAAAGAATTCAAGAAGAAAACTAGAGCAAAGAGTTTGAACAAAAGTTCGGATTTTTGTATTAATTTCTGAATGAATAAATCAACAAGAGGAAGAGCCTTTATATAGGCATCAACTAGATCTAGTCCTAATATAACTATAACTCTAATAAAGTAATAAAATATTAGGAGTCCTAAACAAACTAGAAAACAAGGAAATAAATATCTAGAATATCTCTTGCTTGCGATTCAAGCCGCCATTGCGCGCGTGCTGCCCTCGCGCGCCCGCCTCGCCTACTCCTTGCGTGGTTAGGCCTGCTCGCGCGTGAAACTCTTCGTCCGCACCCGCGCTACTGCTCCCTTGGCCGAGATTCTCGCGCGCGTCTCCGTCCGCGCGCGCATGTCCGTTAACGAGTTGGGCCTGGGCAACCCGTCGGCTTAACCTCCACCGTGCATGATAAGCGCGGCTCGCAGCATTCTTTAATCTCCTTGCCGTGTTCTCATCATTCCCGTCCCCTTCAAGTGCTTCCTTGTCCTCAAGGAAGAAATCGGGAAACATCTCGCGCATCTCGTCCCAACTTTTCCATGTTGCTTCCTCGCTCGGTAAATCCTCCCATTCGACGAGCACTTCCCAGAAATATTTTCCAGCCTTTTTGACTTGCCGATACTCCATCGCACGGCTCGGCCGCACAATAACCTGCCCGTCCGGTGCGACCGCGGGTAGTCGATCTTTTGCCACATGCGCTTCGCCGAGTCGTTGCTTGAGTTGTGAGACGTGTGTGACTGGATGAATATTGGAATCGTCCGGCAACTCAAGTCGATAAGCAACCTTCCCAACCTTGGCCAAAATTTTATAAGGCCCGTAATATCGAACTCCGAGCTTGGTCGCGGCCCTTTGCGCTGCCGTCCTTTGCCGAAACAGCCTTAACTTCAAATACACCCAATCCCCGGGTTCGAACTCCACGTCACGCCGCTTGCCATCATGGTACGCCTTCATCCTATTGATCGAGCCTTCCAACGTCCGCTTCAGCTCGCGCAACATTAAGTCGCGCTCAACCAACTCTCGATCGACCTCATCGTTCACAGCGCTCCCCATCGAGTAACTCACGATCGTCGGCGGTTTGCGCCCGTACACCAACTCGAACGGCGCTGCCTTAGTCGAGCTATGGTAAGTGGTGTTATACCAATACTCGGCCCAAGGTAAATAATTCTCCCACCGCTTTGGAAATTGATGCACATAGCACCTAAGGTACTGCTCGAGCGTGCGATTGGTCACCTCTGTCTGTCCGTCGGTTTGTGGATGGTAAGCTGAGCTCATGCTTAGCTCAGTTCCCTGCAACTTAAAGAACTCCGACCAGAAACTACTCATAAATATCCGATCTCGGTCGGACACAATCGACCGTGGCACCCCATGTAATTTCATCACATATTCGACAAATAATTTTGCTATAGACTTAGCCGTGTATGGGTGAGTAAGTGGAATAAAATGCGCATACTTGGTAAGACGGTCGACTACCACCATGACTCCATTGAACCCATTCGAGAGTGGCAACCCCTCGATAAAATCCATGGTGATGTTCTCCCAAATACGTGTGGGGACCGGCAATGGTTGTAGCAGTCCGCCCGGTCGACGTGCGTCCACCTTAGTGCGCTGGCACTCATCACATCGCCCAACGTAGTCGCACACATCGCCCCTCAGTCCTGGCCAATAAAAAGTGCTCGCAATCCTCATCCATGTCCGGAACACCCCGGAATGTCCTCCAAACTTCGAGTCGTGGAAGTTCCTGATGATGTCCTCGTGCAACGATCCCGCCTCGG